ATCACATGTGGCAGTCATATGGTCCAAAGAGGTGAGTGTTATCTCTACAGGGCATTAGTGGGTCTGACACTACACTGATAGAGATAATATTTATCAAATGATAATTGCACGCACACATTTGCTGGTTATAGGTTTTCAAAAATGAGAATTTGCTACATTTGATTGTATTATATGAGCTGAAGAGGTTTTAGGTTTTTGACTGTTTGTCGGACAAAACTACATTTAATTAGAGGATACTGTGATGGGCATTTTCATCACACACCCTTGATTGTTGACATAGCTCTCACGGAGCTATAGAGATCTGTGTCAACAGTATGGAAATTATTCTACATGTATTACATAAGGAGCACATGGTGGTTATGATGGTGTGCAGTATTTTGGGAAAGTTAAACCACTAAGAGGTTTTCTTCTAAATGGGATTTGAGCACAAAATATTTAGATTGCAAAACAGGTATAAAAAAAAATCAAAGTTCAGGTTGCTTCTCACCAGTGCGTTGTAAATAACACAGTACAGTGTGAGCCTGAAGCTGAGCTCTGGACCAAAACTCTGGGTGTTTCTGTAGCAGCCCTGCATTATTTGGTAAGCATCTTAAAGAAGATAAGCGGTTACTTGATGTCCTTTTGTAATCTGGCAGATAATTGAACAATGTCAGATTGTTAAAGTGCCAGTAGTGTGAAATTTGAATCTGAATATTGGATCCACTGTAAACTGTTTTAGTTACAAACAGGGAAAAACTATTAGACTACAGAAGCTATATTAAAGTTGTCATAGAGGTACTTTTGAAGTTTTAAATCCTACTGTAAGTGTAATACGAATAACTTTAATATACCTTAAATGATTTGAGCTGTTTATCCTAATGGTGTCGTGTTTGTTAAATAGTTAACAAGACAAATACTGACATGTTTAGAGACTAGTTTAAAGACAAAACCATATTGCGCTTACCAGTGGTGGTGGTAGAATCATAAAGTATTTGATAGTATGCACAAGAGCCCCCTACAGCGGTGTACTGCTACCACTATCAGAAAATAGATTTGCTAGGTATCTTGTTATAACAAGAACCAGTTTTCGTTATAACAAGATACTTTCCTCATTTTTATGAGATGCTCTCGCATTAAAGATATTCATGTTATTACGACACACTGTAGCCTATTTTCTTGTTATAACATCACACTGAAATCCACGCACAATAATTAACCCAAAAATAACTCATAAATGCAGCTCACGAGCCATGATAAACAGAAACGCCCTGCACATGTCCCGATGATGTTACAGGCATTACTGATAGCAGTTAAAGTTGGTGTGTGCACTGCTGTCACTCACTCCAAGCTATTAGATAGCCCCTCATAGCTTATATAAATATAGTTTCAAACATCTGGCCTATGTTTCACTGACTGCCAGGCACCATTACATAAAAATTTTGCAAAATCACAAAAAAAATGCACAGAGGATTACAGCTGCCACTGGCTCTTACCTTGGGCTGTACGCCAGTAACAGTCGGAGAGAGGACAGGTCTCCCTTGGCAGCAGCATAGTGAACAGGTAGGGCACCTGTATCAGTGGAGGCCCCGGGGTCCGCCTCACCACTCTTCAGCAGCCAATCAGTGATCTCATGGTGACTGAATCGGGATGCAAGGTGGAGAACAGTGGCACCCGAGCTGTCCCTGTCCTATAAAACAAAGAAACGAGGAATGGAGCTGCAATATCGGGCTCTGTAATTAAATTTCCCATTGATTTCTTTTTAATCTGATGTAGCTGGTTATTTTCTGTGCGAAGTGTATGTGGCCTCCATGTGTCTGCATGGGTTTTCTTCTACTGTCAAGAAAATATGCACGTTATGTGGTCTGGAAAATGTAAATTGCCACTAACTGTAACTGTTGTGTGTGTGATTGATTGATTGATTTCTCCTGACAGTAGCCTGCCTCTCACCTAAAGCACGCTGGGATACCCTGCAGCATACCCTGCATAGTGTAAGCTGATACTGAAAGTGAATGTGTGGATTTAATCCATGCATTTCAAAAGAGCAACAATATATTGTAAAAATGATACAGTCACAACTTTAATGGCTCCAAGTGCTGGTAAACATGTGTATTTACTGTACCAACTTGGTGAGACCTACGGGTGTACTTTGGAGAGGAGTAAAGTACAAGTTCAGCATCTGCTAAAACTATTTCAAAGTGCCTGTAGCATTTCTTCTCCAAGGTAAATACTTCACATCCGACTAGCAGCAGGGACATGGAAATGAGGTAACTGAGTCATAAGAACTCACAATAGTAATTATCTATCAAGTGAAGGTTCATCAATACCACTTAAAAGTAATAAACATCATATCCAACTACACTGTCAATATGTTCCATTTGTACGCTTCCTGAGTTACAGATTGTACTACATAGTATATTACAATTGCAAATCCATGTTTTGCATAGCTCATGAGAACCTGATGCAGTGCACCATAAACTAGAATAAAAACAAAAGTTAGATATTTAACAAAAAGACTTGCAGTTGCATTGCCCCACAGCTGACAGCAATTTACATACGATATTTTGTGTGTTTAATTTGATTTCTTTAATCGTTTCAGCGTGCTGGCCTATCGTTTCAGTATCTTATCAATACAGTATCAAAACAGGCTCTTGTGAATATCTGAGGACCTCCTGTTTTTGAAGGGGAACAGCCACTCCCTGTGTGGTCACTATGTTCTGATGTCTGGTAAGATCTTGATGTGAAATCTGTTACTGGTGGATTTTCTGAAACACTATCATGATTAGGTGTAGGCCATAGGCATTAATCAGCTCACTATTTGTGGAGGTGCCTCCTTAAACAGACATAGAAACACTCTGTAAAGAATGCATTTAAACACTGAGAGTCACTTAGTTTAATTCTCACTTAATGGTATACTGTAATATATCTGAGCTTCCTCTATGAGAAGGAGCAAATGGCTAGCAAGGTCTTGAGGAACTACAGTACTTACTTAATTTTATTAGTAAGGGTTTTGTGTCTTTAGGTGACCTAAATATTATTTCAGAAGCTTTTTCAGATACAGTTGTAAAGTCTGTCAGGAAACATTAAATATGTGGAGGTTTGAGACAAGAAAATACAGTTGTCGGTGGGCTACCACAGGTCCACTGCACCCCAGTTGGAGAGGTCAAAGGGGGATTGGATGCAGGTTTTTGGCAGGTAGTCTACACAGCTGAGGAATGGTAGCCAGGTCAGAGGAAACAGAGAATTGAGCTACTGTCTGCTACTCCAACTATGGTTCAACTCACTCACCTCAGGCCGACATCCACCCTGTGTCAGAAGCCACTGTAAGCAGGCTAGGTTGCCGGTGGCTGCTGCGTCATGCGCCGGGCTTGCTCCGTTGCTCGCCAGGCAGGTGGCCGGGAGTCCTGCCTCCTCCACTAGGAAGCGCAGGCAGGCCAGTCTCCCGGCCCGGGCTGCGTGATGGACCGGTGAAGCCCCCAGCACATCCTTGACGTCGCTGGTGAGCTCTTTTGCCGCTAATTGCAATTTCAGCGTCTGCACATCACCTTGCCTTGCAGCGAGCAGCGTCCTCTCCCCCTCTACGATCATGACTGCTGCAGACCGGACGACTCCTTCCTTTGGTTGCCTGAGCTGAGCTCAAACCCGTTCACCGTGAGGATGGGCTCAGCATTGTATAACAAAGTCTCAGTTCTCCTCAGTCTCCGTTAGTTTAGCTGGAAAGTTCAGTTATCGCTCCACATTTTTCCAGAGCCAAACGGTCAAAGCAGAACCCGTTTTAGTTCATAAGCTGCACATTTCAATACGCGATGCGTTTACATGTTGGAATAACTCTGTCCATTATCCTGTAGCCCATCGGAGTGATAAACTAACCTGCTTTCTATGTTTTGCCCGACGGTGTGACTCAGTTATCCGCTTTTTTCGTCTGCCGTCCGCAGTATGCGGAACACCTGTTGCGCACCTTTACTTGTGTTCCAGTGGCCAAAACTATTTTTGTTTCTTTACCCTGCTTGCTTCCAAATAACTAACGCGTCGCCTGTCAAGAGCCTCGGAGAATATTGTTTTCTTCCAATAGCAGATGGCGGCAGGGGACTCAGCGGCTGTTAAATAATCCAGCAGGGGGAGGATCACTGAACCTGTTATAAATTGTTGCTTTGTGGAAATCGGCTCAGAAGTTAAAGGGGCAGTACGAACCGCTACCTAAACCTCTCAGTGGCGCCTGACAGAGAAAGTTATATAACTGTGTCAGTCAAGTAGAGGACCGCGGCTACTAATTCAGCAATGGACCTTTTGAACACACGCCCAGTCCTTGGCTGGATGCGCACAGCCTCTCCCGAATTAATTTTACATATGGCAGTGAAATGAGCACTCAGTTTGAACACTGTAGAGGTCCATCTGGCGGCCTCTTGTAAAACTTCAACCCTAGGAAAACGTCACTCCTGTGTACATGTAGTGAGGACCTGTTACATTCTATATATAATATAGGAGGGTACAGCAGACACTTCTGGATTTATGGTCGGTTTCTTTGAACCTCAGTTTATTAACATGCATCAGTCACTGCTGCTTGCCATTTGATCTAAATCAGTCTAACAATGGAATACGATTTTAACTGATTTCAGAAGTTCAAATGTGCTATTTTGCAACATTAATCATAGTTATGATTATATGAGAACTTCACCTCACACCAAAGGCCTGTGAAAATGTTCCTGTATTTTATAGTAGCCTAATGTGTGTGAAGGAACTAAGCACTATCTAGTCAAGCACAGCTTTGAGATACTACTTGAATATTTATGTTTTACAGATTAATTACAGATTTTATATGCAGCAGATATTATAAGTCTTTAAAATGGTTGACTAGCGTGTTATCTAGCTCAAATTAACTCTGTCCATTCGCTGCTTACAATTTAAGGCATTTGTAATCCAGTAATTTAACAGGCATGGCTGCGACTATATTGCAAAAAAGAGTAGCCTATACTTTCACTTTTGTTAATTTTGTAGCTTAGAAGTTGTATTTATTTATTTGGTAAACGTTAGTTCCACTTGCCATACACATGCATGCTGTTTAATTAACTATGAGCTCAGTAGGCATGCGTCATGGATATGGCAGATGAACCTTTTGTTAAGACGAGCTGTAATAGCTTCAGTCACCAAACGGTGGCAGGAAAGCTTCGTATACTTTCAGGTAGAGCTCCACCTGAGGAGGTGTCCAGGTGTCAGGTTATGGCTTGTAGTGGCTTCAGTAAATCACTGTAAGCTGTCACTATACCCAGACAGAATACTCAAGTAAAATTGCAAGTATTTACCTACAAGTAGTAGCTACCATTTCAAACTCTTTACTCAACTTGAAGTTTTAAGTCCTGTGATAGTCTGGCGACCTGTCTAGGGTGTACTATACAGTATTCCCTCTAAATAGCAGTGCAGTAAAATTAACAGAAAATGGAAATAACTTTCTAGCCTACTTGAGTAAATGTACTTATTACCCGCCACATCTGACGTTATTGCATTATTAAAGATATCCGACCAATGACTAATGTGCACAAAAATTAGGAAACAAAAATTAAGCACATATGTTTTTTTGTCAAAACAGCGGGCCAATTCTGATGCTCTGGAGGTTTTTACTGGACAATGCGAGTAGAAGCGTATTTGAGATTCAAGCAAGAGCCCTTCGTCGGTCTTACAGTATTTATAGGCGACTATCTGTTTGACATATTCTTATACTCTCATGGAATATTTTTGACATCAAGCGAAAACCTGCAGGTTCATAGGTTCCGCATGTTCTGCCCCTTCACTCTCACATCAGGTTGATTGATGGTCTTTTTCCTGCAGGATTTGGGTGCGTGCTGCGGAGCCGAGTGAGGCGCGTGCTCGGCGCGTGCCTCCCCGGCCCATCTGTTGCCGTGTGCAACTGTCCTAGACAGCACGCGCCAGTGTGAGGGAGTAGGGAGCAATTCCCTGGAGCTACTAGCTATTACAATTCCCAAAAGGAAATGGACAATACAGACTCTCTAACACGATTTACTGTGCACTGTGCTATAGCCTAGCATCGCTTTGTACCCTACATATCTTATAGGCTATTGCAGAAATGAGTAATAATTTTACTTGCAGATAAATCGTCTTAAACTCGTTATAACCCTGTACCTGCAACCCACCAGTGACTACATTTCGAAGCTGAGAAAATTCACAAATCTGGACTTTCAATAAAAACATTTTTTTCAGTCTGGACATTTTTGTCCAGAAGGATCTTCTTTATTGAAAACATTTGTTTTAATATTGGATTCGAACGGTAAAAGGGTTTGTAATACATACCAGCTGACAAATGGATTTCGTGTACAAGTAAAGGTAAAACCATAAACGTTTATTATTTCTAGTTAGAAATAAGCTCAACTGGAATAAATTTTAACCTCAAATTAAATATGGGTCACGTTTGTATGAAGAATGCTGATATGAGATATAAAACATAACGCATTGTCTGTTAACAGACAATTTGTTAACTTTTCATTTGTATTTGTAAATCTGACTGTAAAAGAGTCAGTGCCTCACCAGCTGTCAACCTCATCGCACGTCACTGCAACGCACATATAATTTTAGGCATACTATTTCACAGAATATATTTAGGGCATATTGGTTATGATGCTGCAAAGCAGCGATGCAACTGAGTGTATTATCAGTAATAAATGTAATTGAATTAATCACATTTTTAAAGAGAAAAATATAACCCCTTAGGTTCTTATGTTAGTAGTGTAGTTTAAAATGACTACAGACCAAATCTGGCATTTGGATAGCATAGTTTTGTATGAAACAGGGTAGCCTACTGATTATATAGCCTAACAGCTTAACACTGTCTTTTTTTAAATGATTATTTGCTGCTTATTGCTGTGGCCCGTAGGTAAATAAGGTCCAGAAATAGGGCTTCGTTTTGGGTACAGCTTCAGCCACGGGGTATGTGATCCTGGATAGATTCCCAGGGTTCTTTAAAGACACTCCCACACCTTAAACCAATGAGACGCTAAATCCCCGCTGAACCGGAGATGGGCTACCAACGGTTTTCCTATGAAGTCTGAAAGCTGGGATATTTCTTGCACGCGTCAGGCGTGCGACAGTTATTCAAATTGCACTCGATTGTTCAGCGCGTGGGCCCCATCTATTGTCTGGTCACATCTGCTGCTGCGCGGGAACTTTCAAATGAGATTTTCTGCTCAAGTCCAGGCAACAACAACAACACCGTCTGTTTGCAACGATAAATGGCCAAAAGGATCTTAAATGGTTGCAGAACAAGTCCAATATTCGCTTGGTTATAGATAAGCGAACAATTTACCAGCTTCTGAATTTGAGCAGCATGTGCTAATCACAGATAATTTAACACTTATGACCAAAGGAGAAGCTCCATGATCACTACAATTTGCCATGGAGTTTAAACTGTGATGGTAAAAAAATCCATTATAGGCCTATATTCATACAGCCTACCAAAACCCTCCTGGGCTCAGGTGGTTAGCGCGTGCCATAATCGGTCGTTTGAGTAAACGGCGCGTGCGAGGAGGAGGAGGCCTTGTTAAACCACAGTGATGTGTGCCTGTACCGTTGGTGTATGATCTAAATCAGTAATAATTATGCATGTAAATAGTAAAAATCACATGTTGCCCACCATATTAGGTTTACAAATGGTTGATCTAAAAAAAGACACGAGACCAAACAAACTTTATTAAGCAACTGAAAAAAGACAAGCACACACAAAGAGATATGACTTTATTTATCCTTCTCCATCCGTCAATCCCCAAAGACAGGCTGCATTTTTTGTAAGATTCTTTCTTTCTTTCATTCTTTCCCTCTCTCTCGAGCATGGGCCTATATGGAAGAGGCTCATTTGTTTCTTTTTCATTTTTTTCTTTCTTTTGAATTAAAATAATAAAACAAATTCTGATGCTAATCTATAATCACCAAAAACCAATGCACCAGCAAAACACCTTAAAGATGTCACTGTTGAAGATGATCAAATTCAATCATTTAAAATTACAAACATTATTTCTGTTTTGTTAACTACACACTTTAGAAGTGAGGACAGAAAAGGGGGTTATTTTAGATCAAAAATTTCATGAATGGTGGTTACATATTGTAAATAACCACTACAGGTGTTCTTATTGAATCTGGTATGTGGCTATGCTTTGATGACATTTAGACTGTTAAAAAGCACTAAAACGTTTCAGTTGTTCTGAACTTAATAACATTGGCCACTTTGCGTTTTGATAGACAATAACTTTCCTCATATTTGTTTTTATGTGCTGTGGATTCTCCTTCTTTACTCCAAACCCTGAAGATCGTGGGTTCATTGATCTTAAACATTATGTCTGCAAACTAAAAGCCTATCACATTTCATCAACTGCAACTGAACATATGGAAAATAAAAACTGCTTTTCTTTGTTTGTTTTTTACTTAAATAAATCTGCTTTGTAAAAATGTCACTGTCAGTAAGGCAGGCTTCAAATGATGGAAACCTATAGAAAGAGGGAGATTTACAGCTTAATCTTTTCATTATAAGGCACAAACACTGTTATAGCAAAAACGTGAATAAGAATGATTGCTTTCTGAAATTAAAAATTGTTGTTATTACAGCCCAGGTTCCACCATCTCACAGGCCGAGTTGGTTCCTTCAGCCTTTCTCACAGCATTGAGACATTAGTTAGACGTCTTCTGTCCACTTGAACTTACCACGCAGGCACCACGTCGGTGGTGCGTCTGCCATCATCCGTGAGCTGCAGTGAGAATGTCTATGGTCAGACTTTCAGGCTCGGCCTCATTAGCAACTGACAGGAACAGGAGGACTAATTTGACAAGACAGGCGTTTAACAATAAGCGTCTACGGTGAAAAGTCACTGTGGTGTGTTCTTTTCTAGAAACATTGTCACATATAACGGGTTATAAGGCCAGGTTTGTAGCTACACCAAATAACAGTACATAAGGCAATATAGGCTATGGGCTACCCCATGCAATATACGTAGCCTAAATCTATGAAATAGCAGATTATATGAACGTCTCATATTATGAAGTCTAATCTAGAGTCTACTCACAGTCATGTGTTACGGTTAAAA